CTGGCAAAGGTGACTGTAGTTTGGAACTGGCCACAACCTTAGAACCTGAAACAGGTCCAAGCATTCCTTGGGTTTACAAACTACTACTAACACTTCATTCAAGGCTTCAGTACCATTGCCTGGCCCCTTCACAATCTTACTAGCAAGGATGTTCCTTAGTAATAGGATGATCAGCAGCAGTCTGTGTTTGAGTCCCTCAAGTAGGCTATCACTAGTGAGCCTGTATTAGCAGTTCTGACAGTTGTGGACAAGTTCTGAGTTGAAGCCAATTCTTCTGACTTTACAAATGGAGCAGTACTGTCCCAGTTCATTGACAGAAAGTAGTGTCTGATAGTGTTCTGATCAGAATCCCTCTCTGTAACAGAACAGAACTACCCCATCTATGACAAGGAACTCCTTGCAATTGTCTGTTCCCTAGAAGAGTAGTGTCAATATCTCCTCAGTACTGTACAGAAGTTTGAGATTTAGAGTGATCACTTTAATCTCTAGTACTTCCAGACTCCCCAGAAGCTCAACTACCACCAAGCCTGCTAGATGTTAGAACTACAGGACTTTGACTTTGTACTAACCTACAAACCCAGAACATAAATGATAAAAGCCAATTTACTCTCAAGACAAGCAGGTCATGAAAGGGGGGAGAATGATAACAAAAATCTCATTCTCCTAGACAATTCCTGTTTTGTGTCCAAGACAATCCAAGAGATCTGACTCGAATCCAAGGATGTCAACTTTGTCACCTACATACAGTGAGCTCTAAGACACACACAGGACTAGGTTGTAGTAAAGTAACTAGAGAAGCAGGCTAGAGATTGGGAGGAGGATGAGGATAGACAGGTTTACTAAGAAGGCCAACTGTATGTTCTGAAGGATTGGAAACTGTAGGAGGACATTGTCTGAGCTCATCACAACAATCCAACTGTAGGACATCTAGGCTGACACAAAACACAGGAACTCATTACTTGGAACTACTAGTGGCCCAGAATGTAGAGGGAAATCCTGAAGTATGTGACTGGTTGTAATACATACTAACAGACTAAGGCCTACTGGACAAGGGTTCAGGCTCCCCTACATCTGTATTGGATTCCAGATCACTCTTGGGAAGAAGTCTTGGTGGACCTGATTAGTAAGCTACCTGAGTCTTAGGGTTACAACACTATCTGTGTGATTGTTGACTGATTCTCTAAGCAAGTCCACACAGTTCCAACCTGAACAGAACTCACTTCTGAAGGTATGGCACACATTTATTAGGATCATGTTTTCCAGTTGTACAGACTTCCTTAGAAGCTTATTCATGATTGTAGACTGTAATTTGAGTCAAAATTCATACAGGACTTGTATGTGCTTCTCAGAATTCAAGGGAACCCTTCTACTACCTATCACCTGCAGACTGACAGTCAAACTGAGTGAGTCAATCAGGAGATCAAGCTCTACCTCTAGATGTTCATCAATCATTAACAATTGAATTAGTCTGAATGGCTAGCTCTAACAGAATTTGTGCACAATAACTAGCAACACTCTGTAACAGGACAGTCCCTGTTCTTCCTCAATCATAGGAGACATCTGTACTAGGGGACAGTTCCAAACCAGAACAGCAGTTCTGAATCTGTAACAGACTTTGTAGAATGGATGCACAGAACCAGGGAGGACACACAAGCTCTTTTGGAAAAGGTAGCATAGGTTATGAAGCAGAACTATGATCAGAAGAGGTCTGTGGCCAAGGATTACCAGCCTGGTGACAAAGTTATGCTGGAAGCCACTAACCTGACTACAGATTGCCTAATGAAGAAGTTGGACAACAAGTGCTTCAGACCCTTTGTTATTGAAAAGAAGGTCAGTGCCTCTGCCTACAAACTCCAACTTCTGACAACATGGAAGCACATACACCCAGTGTTTAACAAGGTTCTACTGTCTCAATACTACAATCTAGGTTTTCCTTCACAACAAAGACTCCTACTACCTCTACCAGAACTCATCAGTTCTGAACTAGAATACAAAGTAGAGTACATAGTGGATACTAAGCTGGTGTACAGAAAACTCAAGTTCCTTATCCACTGGAAGGGATACCCAGTTGAAGAATGCACTTGAGAACCTGCTGAGAATCTCACCCATACTGCTAAGGCAATCTGAGACTTCTATTGACTTCATCTGGGTGCTCTGTGTCAACTCTACCTCACAGATTTCCAAACCCTACTGTTCTGACCTATGCCCAAGCTGCTGACTGAGCCTAATGTTCATCAATCAGGACAATTGGTTTTAGAGGGGGGGTGATGTTACAATTCTCTACTCTCTTACCTTCAGTTCTGAGGGTTCTACACCCTTCTGTACTAGAACTCAGGACTTCTGTCCCTCAGAGGTGCTGTCTATAGACTATATGCATGCTGACTCTTACTACTACCCTTCCTTACTTCATCATTCCATTCCTTTGACCACTCCTTCATTCTCTGTTCA